TTCCAATCACAATCGATGAAAACTTGGTGTGTCGTCAACCAATCCATCCCAAGGATGACATAAAACTCCGACATGTCAATGACCCTAAGGTCCAGAGTGAGTAGAATTCCCAAGATCTCTAGCTCACAACCCTGACATATCTGATCAATGCATACCCTAGTTTGTAGGGGAGAACTCACATGCAATGGTTCTTCCAAGGTCTAAATCTTCATGCCCATATCCCTTACACATGATGCAGAAATAAATAAATGCAATGCACTAGAGTTAAATAATACACTTGCCCATAAGCGAGAGATTAGAAATGTACCCTGAATAACTGACTGGTCCACTGACTCGGTCTAAGGTATGGTGGCATAGCCTCATCCCTAGGTCCCCGAAGTCCTGGCCTGTAAGCCCTATCCCTAGCCTCGGCCCATGCGCTGGCCTATCTGGCCTGATTACAGAGTCCCCGCTCGTAAAATGATAAGGGCCTGTATAGCACCCTAGAATTGAAACTAGTTTTCCTGGCCCATGGTGGGGTAGGGAGGAATGAAGAAATTTTGTGGATGTCCCACCGATGACTGGGACTGAGATGCCCCATAGCTCTGGGATCCCTGCCTCTCAGGACAACTCTACTTCAAGTGACCCAACTGGTGGCATATGAAACAAGTCCTCTGACCTGTCGGGTAGGAAGTCCTGAAGTTTATCTCACCTTCAGAGGATTGACCTTGGCCTTGGCCTTGATAGTTGTGGCCCTATCCCTGATACCCTTGTGGGTTAGAATTCATTTGCTTCTTTCCTGAACTAGAAGAAGAGGATTGGCCGTTCTTCTTCTTGACCTTAGCATCCGCCTCTCGAATGCCCCTTACATCTTCCACCTCTCTTTCAATGGCCATAGTTGTCTTGACCATTGAGTCCAAATCTTGTTGGTGGTGGCCCACAATCCTTTCCCAGATGGATAATTTCAAACCATCCTCAAACCTCCTCACTTTGGCCAAGTTTGTGGTCACATAATCATTGGCAAAATGGGCTAACTCTTGAACTTAGTCACGTATTACATCACTGTCATAGTCCCTTGCTTCAAATCCAAGAATTCCTGGGCTTTCTCTTATCAAATAGCTATTGGGAAATACTTGCCCATGAAGAGCTCCTAGAACCCTCCCCATTTCATTGCCTCTAGGTTCTTCGAGGCCTTTGCCCAATCCTACCATAAATGGGTCTCTCCTTCAAGCTAGAATGTAGCTAGCCTTATCTTAGTGGCATCATATTTGATCTCCATAGCCTCTAAGATTTTATCCACTTCTTAAAACCAATGGTTGGCCACCATCGGATCCGCCCCTCCCATGAAAGTTGGTGGCTTGTGTGCCTTAAACTTTTGGAGGTTACTTGAGCCTCTTTGGCCCACATTGGTGCTAGCTTGTGCAAAGGTTGCCGTCATAGTGCTTATAGCCTCTATAAAGGCTTGTTGGTTAAAGACCAGTGGTGGTTGGTTGTTGTTTCATCCACCTCCTCAATCGTTCCGATGTCCTCTCCTTCTATTTGCCATCTACACACATGTAAAATAGCAATAGAGCACTAAATTAATATCCCAAGGTAGAGATCAAGGTCAAAACATTGGGATTTCTCTCCTTGTCTCACTAGTAGAGCATATCTCACCAACTAGTAGACATCTACACCATGAACGTCTCGTTCCTTATCTTTATGACCCCCAAGGTTATGTTCTCTAACCCTAGTGTTTCTTTTCTATATACATTTAATCATGCATATTGTGCACATAATAGAGAATACATAACATGTAGCATTTAGATCACATAACATGTAATGCATAATGAATGCAATGGCCTAGACCCGTGCCCTGCAAGCTCTAGGTAAATCGAAAACCTAGGCTCTAAAACAAAGCTGGGACACCCCTAATATCGGGGGTCCTTTGTCAACTCATTGATCACCCATCAACCCGTGAAAGTACCCGTGAATGCCACATAACCTGACACCACATTATAACAACCTCTTTACCAAGATCATAAACAACACAGCGTTTGGGCAAAGTGTCCCTTGTACTAGGCACTCCCGAACGTGTAACCTGTGTACATTTCAATCACTTGACCATTCTGAGGTCTAATATACATCCATTTATCCTTAATATTACTCCATTTACATTCTTTGAACAAGAGAACTCAAGAACCAAAGGCTTGACAAAATTATTTTAAAATTTTTGAAAATTTAAGAGGACCTACCGGTAGATAATTAACATTCTACCGGTAGAAGAGCTCTCTAGAATTCTTCTACCGGTAGATAATCAACGTTCTACCGGTAGAAAAGCCCTCTAAAAATCTTCTACTGATAGATAACCAATGTTCTAGTTATAAAAGAGCCCATTTTGCCCCCAATTCAATCCTTTTTCAATTCCAACTCGTCCACTCTCATACAACATCCACCCAAACTCACATAACATCAAATTTTACACAAAATATAGTTAATATGAGTTCATTTTACAATCATTTATAAAATATTACATGTCCAAAAACTAATTACACTTTTTTATAAAAATGTAATTTAAAGCCACAACTCGGCTTTCTTCATCAATGAAGGCCTAAGTGAGACCCATCCACCGGCACTTGTCCCGCACCTAAAATGTTATCCCCATAAAAGGTGAGCCACGCACAATAGGGTATCTTCTAAAAAGGCTACTCCTTAACCTAGATGCATATGAAATGCTCACATGCAATTCAACAATCAAACAAACATTCTTCCAAGAACATACAACTTCAAGAACAAATGTCATAATGTCATGTCATGTTATGAGGTGAGACTCACACATACAATGCAACCTAAGCCTTCACGAGCTCCCATAACATATACAATGTCATGTGTACGAATCTGGGCATTCCAAACCCCCACCATTGATGTTACACATCCAATGACCATTTATAAATCCTGGATCTTTCTTAAGGTGGGTATTTATGGACTTTCAGCAACGGCTCCACATACGCCGACACACTTTATGGACTATATACCAATGGAGTGAGTATCCAAATAACCGAGTCTTGCACCTGAGGGATAATTTAGCCCTTCTTGATAACCTCAACCCTATTTTTGATGCAACCTGTGTGGCTCAGTCGAACTTTGGTCCAACTTTTCTGAGCCCACACATCATCCACCAAGAATGGAGTTCGATCAAAACCATGCACACACCCACACCCATGTCACATACCCACAAATATAATGCTTCCCGTGCATATATAATGTAATGTACAATTGTAATTCCAATTTCATGTTCATCATATCATGAATGTAGCATAACATACATCATTTTCACAAATGTCAATCATATCATGAGCATATAATTACATCCTATAATTTTCACCAAGCATGTTATAATATTTTTCAAAGAAACCAACATGCTAAATCAACATAGGCATTTTATTAAACACTTTTAAGGCATAAATGTGAACACATAGCATGCCCAATCAACACATTTATCATGAAATTACCAAAATAAGCAATTTCACCCAAAAATCCAATTCATGCAAAAAATTGATTTTACACATTCTTATACAATTTTCTATACTCTAGTTACACTAGAAATACATTTAGACAAGAGATTTCATCTCAAGTCATGCTATCCATTTCATGTGAAACCCTAGGTTGAAAATAAACCTAATTAAGAGAAAAACCCTACCTCTCCAAGCATGATACAAGTGGTAGAAAGCTCCAAGAAAACCCAAATCAAGATTCAAGCCTTGATTTCCAAAAAACTCATCTTTGAGATTTCATCAAAATCTGTGTTTTTTGGCATGTTGACGTAGCTCTTGTTGAGTAGATGAACTGTAGTTCTTAGCCCGAAGGATTCTGACCAAAGGTTAGCCTTGGATCGCAAGAAGAAAAAGAAGAAAAAACCCTTGATTTTCTCTCCCTTCTTGCCTCTCTCTCTCTCTATCTCTAACCAAATTCAGCAACCAAATTGGGAGACAATTTTAATTTTTCTTCCTTTTTATACCCCTTGGATGCTTGGGCCATACCGCGCCACACGTCCCCTGCCTTATACTAATTCAATTTTGTCCTGAATCAATTAAATCTCATCTCGTTTTATATTCAACATATTTTATTTGAAATAACTGTAAATTATTTTGCATGTTTTGCAATTAATTTTCAATCGTATTTATTTTAGTCACGCGACTCCCGATCGTCTCGTAAAATGTGAAAATAATTTGACTGTCTCAAAATTTAACAAAAATTTACTAGATAACTAGATTTTGTGAGATGAATCTAACGGTGAGATCCATTTCGTCATCCAAGTTCTAAAAAAATTTGAGTTTTCAACCCGTACCGTTGCGACTAATTACCGTTTTGCCCTTTTTCATAAAAAATAAAAAAAAATTGAGTTTTAAAGTTGCATTTGTTGCCTAAGCAAGATGCTAAATCGAGACTCATTAGGTGAATTATTCTCCTTCAAGAATTCCATTTAATCATTAAAGATAAAAAAAAAAAAGGAGTTGAGAATGTGGTGGTAGATCACTTATCCCAACTAGTGTTCCAGGATAGACAATAGCACATTCCAATTCATGATTATTTTCTATTACTAAATCTTGTCCTTGGAATGTTGATACGGTGAATTTTCTTGTTATAAGGCAAATACCATCTCATTGGAGTCCACATGAGAGAAGGAAGTTCCTAGTAGAAGTAAAAAAAAACTCTTTGATGATCCGTATTTGTTTAAATATTGTTCTCAGTAGATGATGAGAAGATGTGTACCAGATGGCAAGCAACATGACATTATCTCATTTTCTATTCACAAGAAGAGTTTGACGATGTCAATCAGCTGGCATCATCGACTGCTACAGCTGCTTGTCCTCCACCAACCTCGGGAGCCATGATTCCAGAGAGAGTGACTAGACTACAGGAGAGGTTAGGTGTTATGGATTTGGACTTATTAGAGATATGGAGAACTTAAGATAAGATGGCGGGGAATATAGAGCTTTGTCTGAGGATGCACCATCAACTGTTTCAAATTCTTATCCTAGGGGAGACACCACTGGGCATTCCTCCACCACCTACTATGGGTGCTACCAGTTCAAGACCTGCTGCACCCCCAGCCACATCAGTGCCACCTCCTACTTTTGTTTTTGAGCTAAGGGACATTGTCCAAGAGATAGGGAGCAGTGAGAGTGAGAAGGAGGATGTTGTTGAGTTTGGATCAGAGGGTGATGAGGAGGATGCCTCTACTTCATCTATTATTAGTTTGTTAGGTTTAGGAAATGTTTAGCTTTTGTTGTTTTTAGGACTGTTGTCTGGTTGGGTTTCTAATGGCCTAAGATATTTTTTTCTTAAGGCTATTATATTTTGATCTTTTGTACCCACTTACATGTGATGTATATATTAGTCTCTTTTGATTTCATTGTGTGTTTCAGAATTTTTATTATGTGTTTGTTGTGGATGGTTAGTTTAATTGTTGTGTGAAATTCGTAAGTTCATGGATACATGCTTTTCTATCTTTGATTTACTAGAAACTAGCAAAGCTTAATTTGGGGGTATGTTGAGCACAAAATGTTGCATATTTCATGATTTAATCCATCCACTTTATGCATTTGCTTGATGTTTATCTCTACCAATTATGTTGGAAATTGATTAAATTTGTGTAGTTGTGTTTGTAGGTGCAAAGGGGAGGAGAAAGAATGACTCAGATTCAACATATGCATTATGGAAAATCTTAGGAAGGAAGAAAAGTTGAGCTAGGGAAGCACATTAGGGAAATCAAGAGAAGAACCTGATATACCGATACAACTTGTATTGGTTCATCAGGCTGCAAAAACTGCTTGAACTAGTTCATCATCCTTGCACTGGTTCATACAGCTTTGCACTGGTATGAGCCTCAACAAAAAGCTTTTGTAAAACCCCAAAAAAAATATTTTAATTTTAATTAAAGAGGTAAAATGGCAATTAGCCATTAAAGCATGGTTCGAAGGACCAAATTTTTGTAAAACTCAGATGATGAAGCAGACCTTATCATTGGATTCACCTCGCGAAATTGGGCTAGCCAATAAATTTTTATCAAATTCTGAAATAGTTAAAATTTTCACGTATTACAATGCGATTAGGTATCGCGCAATTAAAATTTGGTGATCATATTTTAATCGTGGAACCCATAACATAATTTAAAGTAAATCCCATAAAATTATATTCAACATTACATGTGGTGAAATGTAATTGGTTAGGATAAAATTCGACCAATAAGAAAGTAACATGTGGCCCAAAAATGAGTCAAGTATAAATAGGATCTTAAAATGAAAGACTTGGAGAGAGAGAGAGAGAGAGAGAGAGAGAGAGAGAGAGCCTTCTCTTCATCTTCTTCTTGTTCCTTCAATCTACGGAGATCCGTCCATTGGATTGAGATAGAGCAAGAGTAAAAGTCACTCCACTCAGCGAGGGCTACGTGTCTATACCAACTATGACCCATTTTCCCAAATTTTTGAAAAATATGAGTTTTTATCTAGGCTTGAGGGAGCTTCATTTGGGCGTTCAAATGAGCTTTCAAACATTGCTCATGTTGAAATGGGTAGGGCTATAGAGATGTAATATCACATGTTAGTTCACACCTAGGGTTTCTAGGGTGTCGATAATGAGTAAATGAGCATGTTAAAACCCGTTTCAAGCTTTATTTGGGCTTGGTTATGAAAATGTGAACTAATCGGTAGGAAAGGCACGACCTACCGGTAGTAAGATATTTGGGTTTGATGAAATGGCTTATTTGGATATTTGGGTACTAAGTGTTTGATAAAATGCTTAGGGTTCAAGTGTGTTATTTGGATTGAAAAGAAAAAATATTAAAGAGGCTCTAAGGGCTACAAGTTTGGAAGAGAGCAATAAAAGAAAACATCCAGACACGGGGTCATAGAAGTTTCAATTCTTGGCACCACCTTTCTGGTCGCCAACACCAAACCATTCCCTCTGCCCACGTCGTCGTCCTATAATCGCTGAACAGATCCTCAAGTTCCTCAAACTCTTAAATTAATGGATGATTCCACTGGCAGAGCAAAATATTGGGGAGTGTAGGTTCCCGTTGATGAATAGGAATCATAGGGGAAGGTAGTCGCAAAGGAGAGATCACACCGTCACCTAAACCTCCATCACATTGTGCTGTAATCCTAGAAATGCTTGATGATGACCCCTATTTGCTAACAAATCTAAGGAATGATAAAATCCAATTAGCTATTGGCAATGAGCATAAGAGTATGAAGACATAAAGGGAACTTACTACCACCTTGTCCGTACAAGTGATTACCCTCGGGTTCCATTCCTCAACCTATATAGCCTGTTGGGAGGCAGCATACAGAGGTGGCAACAAGGGCGGTGGAATTCCTAATCTTTGGACTAACAAAACTCTGGAGTGGTGATGATGCTTGAGCCTTCACACATGGGCAAGATCATCCTCTCGGCCTCAGTGCTAATTGTGCCAAAGGATTTCTGGGTGATCTTGGGGAGCCATAACTTGCAGCCACGATGGTGGCTATTAACGGCAAGGTTCAGCGGCTATTAGGGAGAAGGGACCGTCTGGAATCGAAGGAGTGAATCTTCGAGTGACAGCCATAGCTTCTAGGTTATTAATCATGATCATTGCATTTCAGAACATGTCTGATTGTGGTGAAGTAGTGGGATTAGCTTCAGAGTCTAACATGGGACTTGAGAGAAATGTGTGTACCCTGTGCTCTATCCTAGTAACACATGGGCTCTATCCTCGCCCTTCTGCTAGTATTTCTGGACTTTGAGAATGTCCCCAAACACAACTTTGGACCTCAATTATTAAGAGGCCTCCCTCTTATACCCTTTCCTCTGCATAAAGGAAAAATTAGAGTTAGCACACAAGCATTCGCTAAGCAAGGCAGACAACGTAAACATGACTCACGCACCTGACTTCCTCATCTCCTTAGGGTAGTAAAGACCTTCGTACTCAGGCCCATCACCCTTCTCCAATTGGCCTCCCATCATGATGAGGTCTTGGGTGAATCCTTTGTTGGAATTAGGTATGTGAGTGACCAAGGACAATATAGGGTACAGAGCTTTGAGGTAGTACTTTTTGTAAATGGCAAGCTTCATATCATAATAGAAAAGGATCTCGTTTACTTCGTGTTAATCCAGAGAAGAGAATTTAGGGTGACTACACCAAAAAGGTTCACACTGCATTTCTTGGGGGAGAGCCTAAAATGCATAAGGAACCTCAAAAGCAAAAGATCAATGGGGAACCTGACCCCTCTTTCCATGCGAGGTAATTATATTTATGCAATTTTTGATAATTCAATTGATTTCCAACATCAAAGTAATCAACCAAAAAATATATATTTGAACACAATTGGTTTGATTGATTTGAAGAACTAATTTTATAAAACTCGCATGGAATCATAAGCATTGAATATACCAAGAACTCAATCTTGTAAATAAATAATCAAACAATTATATAGAATATAAAACTTTGCTAAAGACATTCAATCAAACTTCGGAAGATAAATATTTAACATTAAAAATAAAATAAGAATTGTATAAACATAATATTCAAAGAAGCAATCACAAATACATACCCTAGGCTAAATAGTACAAAGAGAACTACTCACAAAACATGGTAGATCTCCAAAAACTAAGAAAATAAAGTAGAAGGTTAAGAGGAGGGATCCAAGATTCTCCTCAACGTAAGAGAAGTCACTTATATATATACTAGAAGGTCTAACATTGGTTTGGGAGCAATCCCTTTTAAAAATGAGTATTTTTAAGAAAAATCATGTGCATTAGGTACAAGGAGGGGCGTCCTGACAATCAAAACATGTCTAGATGATCAAAATTTACTAGATACAAAAACCTAGTAGGCATGTCCAAGAGGTAAAATCGCATCCAGATGGTCAAAATATCTTGAAAAATCTTCGTAGGTTCGTCTAGACGCTGGTATTGAATTTTCCAAGACTTTGAGCTCGAGTTTTGCATAGTTAGAGGCCAACCTTGACGTCAAGGTAAACATTTATGACCAAAATACCGTAATAGTGTCAAAAATTTTCCTTCTTGAATTCTCAACAATGCTTGTTTATGCTTTGGAATGCCTCCCAACTTATTTTCAACATCAAATCATTCCTCATTCCAACCGAATCCTTCCTCCATTGTTGACTCAACTTTGATCACTTTATTATCATCATAAATCATCTGAATTACCTACAAAATGAGACAAATAACTAGAACAAGTATCAAGTTAAAAAATCTAACATATATAATCTCGAAGAATAAGGAACTTATCCTTAAATATAATAAAATAACACTTTTGATGGTTAATCAAAGGTCATGGGCTCTAGGAATTCTGTGTCCTCCCTATGCCACATTGGGTGAAAGATTATTTGTATATACATCATTTGGGACCTGAAGTTATCTACAAGGGCTTCGATCACTTGGGTTTTCCTAAGCTTTTCGTTTTTCTTATGTTTGTCAACAACCCTCGACACGTTTATTCTACTTATTCTGGCCATTGATATTCACCAGAGGAAGACGAAGAAGAAAGAGAAAACGGTGGGAAGGATGAAAGATCGAGCGTACTTATAGACAATGCGTTCGGTCTTTATCCTCGGCGAATGACAACTTAGAGGATTAATGAGATTGAAGAAATGAGTGATCTAAAGAGTTCCAAAGCTAAAGTATCACCTCCTATTTATACTTCTTATTATGAAAGCGGACATCGAGGAGATAAAAGCATTTAATGCAAAGTCAAAAATGGGCAGCAAGTGTGCGTTTAATGGCTCCAAAAATGGTGGTGTGCACAAGAAGCCTTCAATCCTGTCATACCACATGACCCATGACATGAGAAAACCGAAGGTTGGGGCAATTGATAGGGCATAGGCGGCTCACCAATAATGAGTTGACACGTGGCATAGAATTGCTAGTAAGTATGTTCCCCAAGTTACCACAGACCGAGATTGATTGAACTATCACTTCAAAAGGGAGGATATAACTTGCTAAGGAAAACAATGTGCTCAAAGGTGAGACCGAGCATTGAATTCTCTTGGGTGGTGCACCTCTTGCAGAACGTGCTGATGTGACAAGCGATCATTATTTTGTCATACCAACTTGGGTCCAGCACCAAATCCCTGAAAATAATGGAGGCAGGCATGGCCCTTGTTGGCATGCACAACCCAAGTGAACATCAACTTGAATGCTCAGCATAGGGTCATAAATACTCGGCATAGGACCTTGAATGCTCTGCACAAAGCACTTGATGTTCGGGAAGACTTACTCGTTAAGAGGTGGGCAATAAAAAATGCTCCTTCTCCCTAGTATTGAAGTCATGATTACACCCCGATGCCAAGCATTGATGAGGCATGACAAGACATTCTACATATGCGGCTCGATGGCAAAAAATCTACTGATGTGATTGCCCCTCCAAGTAGGGATTACAGTCATAGACTGTTAGGCCTAAACTTAGTGTACTCAAGTCTTTGTCATGTCATTATCTTCAAAGGTATAAATAGCTCAGTCACGCAAAACTCTTGTATGCATGTTAAACTAGAATTATACAATATTTATACTTACTAAAAATAAAAAAAGAATTGCACAGTATTTATATCTTTCACCTTTGAGCGTTGTCTGACTTAAGCATTGGAGGGGATTGGAGGGGATAAGCCAGCTTTTTGATTTCATTCTTTGTTTTCAGGAATCTCATTTTAGTTCAACCAGGAGTTGCTATCTTAAACCATTGCAAGAAGTCACATGTACAGTATCTAACATTACTCACAATTAATCTAATAATTACAATGAATTAAAATTTTAAATTAAATCCTCAAAATAGATCTTTAAAGCATTGCTCTTCATGAATTGACTACAAATTACCATTCTTGTAATAACAAAAAACGTTCTCTTAGGGAGCATTTTGAAACAGTGCTTCTTAATTCCTTGAAGAGCCTCTGGAAAGCCCCAAGGGGAATACATGCCTACTTTCCAGATTTCAAATATTTCTATTACCAAAACCACGACCAACCATCCTATTCAAAAACAAATGAAATTAAAAACATTGACGGCAACTATTTTCGGATTATGTCTCTCAGCCTTGGTCTGCTAAAATGTGGCAACTATTTTCCTTTTTTAACTGTTCTAAAGAGATCTAATTTTGCGTTGTTGAAGCCTAGACAATGATTTCGAGCAAAAAATAGATAAATAAATACCAAAAGTGGAGACAATTATAGTCTTCCTTAATTTATTGATCTAAATTAAGTAATGAGCAATGATATACATGATTTATTGATTTTATCAATTTCTGACATTAATTTAAGTGTGATCTTAGCTCAAATGACATGATATCTAATTATTTGAAATTTTTATTGGGTCTTAAATAACATGATATCAAATAAAAAAATTCAACTCAGGTGCCATATCATTTGAACTCTTAATTTAATCCCAAAATTTGGTTAACAAGTCAAATCAGTATTTTAAATACAAATAACATTTTCTTGCAACAATTCTCATGACACTAACTTTTTCAAGAGTTGTTATCAATCTGCGGATAGCCCAGATTTTTTTAATAAAATGGGATTAATCTGCAAACAGTTCCACTCTTTGATCTATGTTCGACGTTTCTTTCTTATCATTTCCCCCTCTTATGCAAAGCTTCATTTCGTATTCAATAAAATTGATTATATTTTTACCAAAAAGGGAAAAAAAAAAAAACGAAAGCTGAGGTCAAGGTATTTTGGTAATTATGCATGAATCCACACGTTCCTTACGAACGAAGGCGAAAAGCTACAGGGCAGAAAACCGCGTCAAAAATGCAAAGTCGGTTCGTGCTTCGTTCTGATTTCGCCATGCACAGGAATGTGTTCGATGTTTAAGCCAACATCTATGACCCTTTTAACCTCCTCGCACCGTATGTTAGTGTTTTGTTCTCTTCTTGGCCGTGGATTGAAAGGTGTCCGAAGTTTAAGCCAACCTCTATGACCGTTTAACATCCTCCCGTTTAATATTAAAATGACAGAGGTGTGGACTGTCAGCCATGTCCGCTTAACGTCACCACCAAATAGTTAATTATTGACCACCCTTTTGAGTTTGTTTTGTTCCTCAATTTTAAAATCTATTCCTTTTACACACGGCTCAGCTTTCCATGCATTCCTTCACATGCACTCCGACGCCGAAATCCTACATCCTTTGTCCTTCATTCACACCCTGTCGCTCATACACTTTTACCATTTTAACCATGCTATTCAGGACTTTTTTCCGAGCAACCTTCGTGACCTAATAACAAATTATGTGCTTGCTTCGTAATTTTGAGATTATTTGGATTCCTTAGTTTGAATGGATTTGTTTGGTAGGTAGCATAGATTTCTACAGTCCCAATTTAGTTTAATCTGCGATACCTAATTAGGTCATCTGGGTGCACTTTATACCAACTCTGTAGTATCTAAAGGTCATTTTTGTGCCAATAGAAATATATTTTTAGGAGAAATTTAAAAATGTGAATCTCACAATTTATTTCAAATTTAAAATTCTAAATCAATATCAATGGTTTGGTAGTGGGTAACATTGACTTCTTTTAATGAGGCTTTGTGGTCCAACTATTCATATTAATTTGGATAAAAAAATTACATAAAGTTTCAAAAGATTAATAATGTCTTCTCAAAATACTTGGAGTTGCTTTATAGAGCTTTTTAGGTCCCTAGTCCTTATACAACATAATTTACCTTTTCCCTTTCTTCCGTTATGATTTTTTATATTTTCTTGGTGATATCTTTATTTAATTATCCATATGAGATTGTTGTTAAGAATCACTCTAGAGACCTTGGGCTCTGTTTATGAAGGAGCACACAAGAAGACTTGCACAATTAAAATTCTAGCCAAATTGCCATAATACATTTCTTTCACATGCACTCCGACACCGAAATCCTGCCACCTTTGTCCTCCATTCACACCCTGCAAATTCATGTACTATTTACCCTTCTAACAATGCTATTTGGACTTTTGCCTTGCAAGTGAATGTGGTTGTTTTGTAATTTTAGAACTATTTGATTCCCAAGTTTTTCATGGATTTACTGGTAGCATAGATTTATGCAATCCAATTTAGTTTAAACAGAACTATCTAAATTAGGTCATCAGAGTACAGTTTAGAGCTTATCTGCAGAATCTAAAGGTCATCTTGGTGCCAATTCAGGCATGTTTTTATGTGTATCTGAAAATTTGTTTCACATTTTACATTTAAAATCGATGAAGAATGGTTTTTCAGTGGGTGTTAATTTCTTTTAATGAGACAAACTGGTCTAATTATTCATATTCAAGTTTAGTCTAAACTTTATTACAAATATTGAGAAGTGTAATAATGTTGTTTCAAAATCAATATTTAGGTGGAGCTCTATACAATGCTTTTTAGTTCCCTAGTCCCTACACATCTGTATGACGCTTTTTAGGTCCCTAATCACTACACCAAATATAATGTATATCAACATATGCATTTAGATAAATGTTGCCTTTGTTATGAAATTTTTTGATTTTTTCTTTGATTTTTTAAAATTTAATATCCATCTAATCAGATTGCTGCTAAACATCACACCAGAAGGCTTAGGTACTGTTTAAGAGAAGCTAAGGGAGAGAATGCTAGACGATTCACACACTTCAAATTCTAGCCAATTTTTCCAAAGGCTATATGCTTTCTGAAATTATTTTTGACTTCCATCGCAAGTAAAAGAAGTGAAATTCTTGCAATTCATTCCTGAGAGTTAGAATGAATACAACATAGGCTATAATTTCCAAGTTCATAGAAAACATTTCAACCTTTCAATTGTCTATGAACCGAATATGTGATCCTTCCACGACAATTTTTTCCATTCCTGAAACTTAAAACTCTAATTAATTATGTCAGAAGTGTTGTGTTGATATTATGTTCTGGCGTGAAAAAAGAGAGAAATTAGTTTTATGCATATGATGATTTCTCTTGTATGTTGATTTTAGATAGAGTTATATTTTTTTTTTCTCTTTCTATCAAACTACAGTTGTTCTCCACTGTTGAAAACCTCTGAAAGATAAATGAAAGAGTTGTGTTGGACGAAACAAGTAAGAATTTAGCTGTAAAACTATTAAGGCCAGCAGTGAGCCAGTGACCAAACAGATCTAGAGCAATAAGTGACGCATAATATTCTCAGTAGAACCTATGAATTCCAGTTTGTTTCGAATAGGCTCAAGTTCAATATCATTCGAAATTCGTAATGTATCCTTTCATCATGGATGTAAGGTATTAAACACACATGCCGAGTAGTGCTAGGACCTAATATAATTAGCATCTAACGTACTGTTTTCATTGGATTAATTGTGAAAAATAATACATTAAGTTTCTAAATTAAGTTCCTAAACTATGTACAGATAACCTATGGCTCATTAAATACTTAAACCCAGATTTGGTGCTCTTGCAGCATAGATCTGATCTTAGCCGAATCTTATGCTTTCAAGTTTGTTGATTTTGCATGCCAAGCTAACTTAATAGTTGCCTTAGTTGTGTTTTCTAAATCAACACTAAGAATGGTTCGGAAAACTTTTTAACTACAATTAATTTTGAAACGGATAAGTAAATAAGATCAAAAAATAGACCAAACAATATAACAGGTAGATAGTGAGCAGTGAAAGTATAATAAAAACAGCATTATATTTGCCCTACATTATTTTATGTCCAATTTTATTTTATTATTATTTTTTTTTAGCATTAGCTTTGAAACTGTGTGGTGAAGCTCAAGAACCAAAGGGCAGTATGGTAACTCTGAATGGTGACATTCCTCTAGTCCTTATATATTTGTACTTGTTGATGTAGACTACTGCTTGTTGATGTGCTCTGCCTCTATACTTCCTCCTATTTTTATCTTCTGCTTCAAGAATTCTTCGTTTTTTTTCCACCTCTTGTCAACAGTCATGGAAGATCAAATCCAAGCCTCTAACAGTCCTATCCATGGCTCTGAGAGAAACGAACCGGTAAGGTCGAGATGGAGTCCAAAACCAGAACAAATCCTTATACTTGAGTCCATCTTCAACAGTGGAATGGTCAATCCTCCAAAAGATGAAACAGTGAAGATAAGGAAATTACTCGAGAAATTCGGAACTGTTGGGGACGCAAACGTATTTTACTGGTTCCAAAACCGGCGGTCAAGGTCTCGCCGCCGGCAACGCCAAATTCAAGCAAATCTTAGTGCAGAACAGTCAGCTCCTACACGCACCAGTGGTGTAAGTACGCAGTATGAGAGTGCTTCACATCCAGGCTTTGTTGCTTCACCGTCGTTTGTTACGTCACCGTCCTCATGTCTTGTCGGTGGTGCTTCATCATCATGTGGAGTGGTTGGCATTGATGGTGTTGTTGATAACCTTTTTTTGTTTTCTGGTCAAATGGGTCTTCAGGAAATTGAGCAAAACTCTGCTGCGACTTCAACCTTTTGCCCCTCGGATGGTTTGAATTTGCACTACCAATCTGGTAAATTGCATGACTGATTTAGTGAGTAGTTACTGCTACAGATTTCAAATTTTACATAAGCAACACTTTCGCTTACCAACTCTACTCTTCTTTTCTATTCTTTTCTCCTCTCCTATAGGCGTGCGTACTTCTTTTAATTCTATTTCAAGACATTAATTTACATATGCACAGAACTTTTTTCCCGTCAGATACTTCAAACTTGCAGTAAAAATCTGGTAATTGCATGCCCGAGTTAGTGAGTCAATACTTTAATATTTCAACATCTATGTTCGTAGACAACACTTCTCTCACTGACTTTTGCTCGCTCTGTGTGTGTGTGTGTTTGGAGATTCTCTAATAGACTACTACTTGATTTCAGTTGAAAATAGGGTACATAAATGTGTAAACTCGTCTTTTTGCACTTCTTTTGGAGTTAATTTCAAAACGATAATTTACTTAAACAAGAATTTATTTGGGTTGATTGTTCAGAATTAATCAGTGTGTATATCAATGGGGTTGTTACGGAGGTTCCAAGGGGGCCACTTGACATGAAAGCTATGTTTGGTCAAGATTTAGTGTGCGTTCATTCTTCTGGATTGCCTGTACCTGTCAATGAGTGCGGATTTTCAGAGCACAGCTTGCAGCATGGTGAAAGCTATTTCCTGGTAAGCAATAACTAATAAACTATATATTGAATCAAAAAGTCTAAACAGACTGAATTTAGGATAAAATATGTAGACCGGCCAATTAATGAACAAAATACTCCAACAATATTGTTGGGTCTTTTATTTGTTGTAGGTTTGAGGAGCTTCACTCAAGAGTTGGTGTCCCCTAAGCAAATGGGCCAAAACTTGATTCTCAGTCTCTCTGTGTTCATTCTTTCCCTTTCAAAAAAGTTTTTCACCTCAACTTTTACGTTTTTCTGAATTTTCAAATCCCCTTTTTTCGTCTGTTTCGATGTCCACAACTAGTTGATGTGGTTGCTAGTATTGCCTGTCGTCAATGCTTAATCTGCCTAATAGGGGAATTCAATGAATTTCATGATCTCTGTCTCCCTCTCTCTTCAAATGTCGGAAGAGCATAAAATTCCTGTGCTCCAAAAAGTCATGAAATACTGCTGGGTTGCACATATTAGTCATTCTAGGATTCCCTTTTTAAGAAAGTCATTGGTATAAGCAGTTTCTAAAATATATTTAATCACTCTTGGATTCCAAAAATGTTAGAACTTCTAATTGCAGATTTTGATTCCCTGAACATATTTTAAGAATCTCTCTCTCTCTCTCTCTCTCTCTACCATATAGAAAATGGACTGATTAAGACTCCAATTTGTTTACAGGTTTCAAGACACACATAAATAGGAGTTTAGCTGCACCGACCAGTTGGGGCTTCCTCCATGAGGATTCGACATACTGGATCAGGATTTTATGATTTTAGGCACAAAGAACTTTTAGATTTGTTTTCATGTATTTCCGATTTCTTTCCCTCCGTTTGTTCATTTCTCTTGTTTCATGGGAAGTTAGCTGATGTAGATCGGATAGTAACACAACATTTAGATCAGTAAGATCAACATCGGGGTGGTTCGTATAGATTTAACTTTTTTCGGAGTCACTTCCACGTGATCTCAAAATATCCATGTCCAATCAGAAAGGACGGAACAAAATGAACTATCCACCCCTAACAGGGGTTGTGATGATCTATGACGAATTTCAAACAAATTTCTTCATTTAAGGCCTGAAAAATGTGTTTTTGTTGTTGTTAGTAAATTTTTCATAGTCGAATAATTTCACCATTAAGTCAAAATTAATCGTCATCAGCTCTATTTTAATTCGTATCATTATTAGTTTTTAGTAGAATAATTAGTTTGAATTTTTTTTGACAAAATCTTTATTAATTGCTTACTTACCTAATTAACGATAATTAGGTTACATTTTATTATTTCCTAAGTTGTTTTAGGATTTTTTGCACTATTTATACTCTTGTAAGGCTTAGGGCTCAACAATTTTTGATGATTGAATATAATTGAGAGTGTCATCTATTTTCTTTCTAATTTATCTGTTATTCCTCAGAATTGTTTGATTTATTAAAGTCTTTAAGATTGATATGCTCTTATGAATCAATAGATCTAGAATTGAAATTTAAATCGTTGTTTGTGTATAAGTTAACGATTTATTTTTATTATTTTTTTTATTCATTATACTATTATTTTACTCGTTTCCGTCTATCACTAGCCTAACTCAATTTCTGCTGCTCCAAAGAATCCCCACATGAAAGACACAATGTACCCGTTTTTCTGCATTAAAGCAGTATATGTTTGATCTCAATTTGCACGAAAACCTTATAGTTAAATGTCCTTAATAATTCCCATCGTCAACGCTTAATCTAGTCGGTCTTCAAGCCTTCAAGGCACGAGTCTTCGTTTCATGCTTGGTTCTGATAAGATAGCAGTAAATGTGCAACATAAAGCACAAAACCATAGTAATTTTTTTAGTATTTGTTATTTTTTAAAAAGTACCGTTTTAAGTGACATTTATTTTGAATGTTTGATGTTCTAATTTTTTTCCCATGTACGGCTTAGTCCTTTCTTTCAAGATTGAGTTCTATATGATATCTCCATTTGCTTTTTCAGTACTATATTAAAAAGTCGTCATTTATGGAATGTTATAAATTTAGTCACGTGTAGTAGTACAGGTAAGGCAATCGGCTTCACTGGTTGTAGTATTTTCACTATCTCTGTCAGAATTTGGTATTAGAGTCATTTGACGCCCTGAATAGTTATTCATGTAATTATATTTGAGTTATTTTACTTGTTTTAAATCTGTTCCATTTCAATTTAGTAAATCATTGTTTAGTTTGGTCTATCCTTGTCATCCAACCTTTGTCAGCTCAAGAGAAAGTGTCTGCTAATCCCGTTTGTAAGTCCTGGTGAGGTAGTATAGGGAGAAAAACATATCATGAGAGCATGTATGTTAGGGGGTATGCACAATGGAGTCAAACTTAAACATTAATTTACATAATTGAAAAATTAGATTTAAACATGAGTACATTATTCAGATCTAATTCTATGACTAGTTCATCTAGATCTTCATCTTGTACTATACCGAATATAGTAAACGAAGAAGAAGATGAGTTTAGAGAAACTAAAGTAGATTAGAGTGGATGAAACATCCCTAAAGTCTTTCACAAAGACATATATAAAACTAGTTGGTTTTCTAAAACCTTTAATGAAGAACTGCAAGTAAAAACTATTAAACAAGTTTATTTCCTTAGTAAGGATGAAGAAATTTGTCAATTACTTAACAGAGAAACCCTCAAAAAACATAAGTCTAAAGGTTTTAATTTTATTCACTTTGGCTTAGTACAGGTTGTAATTAAACCATTAATTGCACTAGGAAAAAATGCAGCAGCCCTGTTAACCCTAAGAGATGCTATGTTCTTAGACTACGAATCCAGTATTTTAAGATTAATGGAAATAGGTCTTCATAAAGGACTAGTATATTTCAAATGCTTCCCAGATTTCACATTAAGTCTAGGATGCAAAAATACTCCTATGGCTTTAACCATAGGAATAAAACTGTCAGGACATATCACCAGACTAGTAAAAGAAACGGAATCAATTGTTCTTATCTATAGGATTTATTATAAATGCATCAACACAAACCTGAATGTGCATGCATTACAAAAAAGTCCTATTGGTAGTACTTTATTGATTCAAGCTAATACTAGTCAATCTAATATCCAAGTCCCTAAACAAATCCAATGGAAGGATGTGATGCTCTTAGAATCTTGGATAGTTAAAAATGAAAATCATGACAGAGATAGTGACAATACTACAACTAACTTAGAAAATGTCCATCAGTTTACTGATTAATCAGTAAAAATCTCCTTTGACTCTATAAGATCCAGTAGATCAAGCAGATCATTCTCTAAACCTATCCAAATAAAAGAAGGTAGGAAATCTGATGTTTATTCTAGTATCTCCAAAAGAGATAAAGAATTAGTAGAAGAAATAGAGAGAAAATTTAAGTTAAAAGGAATCGATAATTTCACGTCACAAATTAGTAAGCCGTGTTACACTCCACATTAGAGTGTCCCACAACCTAGTCCTAGAGATGAAGAGGAAGAAGACGATTTCACCCCTTCACCTACAGCCAGTGATTTACAAAGCATTGCTACAGTAAACCATCAACTTCTTACTATTAAGAAGGACAATGGATTGTTCTTACCTAACATGATTAAATTAGGTAAAGAATTCAAATCTAAAGAAAATGCATCTGAAAGACAAGAGTACTTTAAAAAATTCAATAATAACCAACAAAAGGAAATAATGGCACAATGGGTTAAGTTAACGCATAAAATCGAAACATAAATTCTATTTTTTGATTATCTTGAAACTCATCACAAAGAAGTAAAAGTAGTAATAAAACATAAGTGAAAAATCGAAAAGAATTCCACAATAACTTCTAGCCATCCTCCAGTAGAAACCATAGTATTTAGCCATTTGGATGCTGAAATTTTAGCCTCACATTTCAAGATTCCCACTAATGAATCTGATTAAAAGGTAATAGAGCAAAATAATTTCACAAACCAAAGTAACTATAGGTAAACAGCTTGATAAAATTGAAACTAAAATCGATGAAATCAAGCCATCTTCAAGTAAAAAATTGGAGAAACCTCTAATTAATCTACCTGAAGATAGAACTAATTTTGGATTAATAGATAAACAAACTATTCAAAAGATTGAAGAACTTATCTCTAAAAAAGAATCCAAATCTGGACCATCCCAAGTAACAGTTATCAACCAAACTTCGGATAATTCAGAAACCAATAGCTCAAAAAGTTCGACTGGCTCTGAAATTGAAATATTAGAAGAACAGTTTGGTACTCAATAAATTAATAGATTAAATTTTTCAAAATTTAATCCAACCAGTACTAGTAAAAATTAGTATCCCTGACCAACACCACCAGATCTTCAATTGGAAGAAAAAAATATTAGTAATTAGTTTTTTGTTCAATCCAATAAACTCTATGAATAAACGTAGATGGATTAAGTGAACAAGAAATCATTAATAAAATTAGTCACCTATCCATAGTTGCAAATAGTTATGTCTCAAATTTTGATCTTATTGAACCAGAACTAGTTGACATGATCAGCTCTGGTTTTATAGGAATATTAAGAAATTGGTGGGACAATTACCTTACCCAAGAATCAAAAGAACATATCAATTATGTTGTTCTTCTTAATGAAGAAGGCATACCAGTTTTCGATGAAAGAATTGGTAAAGCAAAAGATGATGGGATTAACACTCTCATCTTCACAATAATTAAACATTTTGTTGGAACACCCAGTAATATTGAAGCTAGGATCCATGACCAGCTCAGTAACCTTAGGTGCCCAACACTTAGTGATTTTAGATGGTACAAAGATGTATTCATCTCTAGAGTAATGCTTAGACTAGACTGTAATAAATCTTTCTGGAAAGAAAAGTTTGTCAATGGTCTACCTAATCTCTTTGCCCATAAGATTAGGGAAGCACTTAGAAAAGAAATTGGAATCATTGAATATGATTCACTAACACATGTTGATCTTGTTAGTACCATCCAAAAAGAAGGAATGAGGATGTGTATTGACATGAAAATTAGTAAACAATTAAAAGATGAAAAGAAA